CGGTATTCTGTGGATATTTCCTGGCAAATGTTTCCGGACGTAGAACTTTGTTTATGTAGTCCGACGATCTTTGCGGGTGGCATGTGCATCATTACCTCCAAGAAGATATTTGTATCCTGGCTCCCACACGTACATGGATTCCCGAAGCTGTTGTTAGGTATCTCCACAATGTCCATGCCATTCCACAAACCTTGTTTCAGGCCACCACGCTCTGTGGACAGGATGCCAGCCGCCCCTTTTCCCTCTGAGTCCGCTGTCGTGCGTGCGAACATGGACTTACCGATTCCGCGATATACTCGAACGTCACACATCCAGCATGCATGTCCAACACAGCAGGCAGGAGGGACTTTTCGAACAACATTTTGGAGACCGTCTCCGAGCGGATCACGCGTAACATCACGCACGCACGCGATGAACTGGTGCACCAAGGCATGTTCTTGACGTCTCCACCCCTGTCTGCGCGTAGCTTGGCTGGAGCGCTCTGCACAGCTTTCATCACCCTGTCTCGGGGTTCGCTGCTGTGGCGCGGGCATACAGAGATGAGCATCGTGAATCCAGTCTGGTTCGGCACCCCGGCCCGCGATGTCAGCAAGTCGGCTGATCTTCGAAACGCCACTTTAGAACTCCCTTCAGCGCAGGGCTAGAGTGAAGGAGGCCAACCAAGTCTGTACTTCCCGACTTGACGAACGACCTGTGACCCGATGTTGAGGAGAATCGGACGTCGATTGTGAATGGGTGGTTGAGAATTCCATCTCTTACTCCACAGCGTTATTTGGAGGAGAGCTGCGGACAAGGTTGAAAAATGAAACATTGACCACAAAGCCGCAAACTCATTGTCAACGTCAGGCAAGGAGAACTTGTCATGACCTAATAACGGGTTGGCGGTTCATATCTCTCCCTTCTACTGACAGTGACGTTACAAAAATATGGATAACTGGCTGCATCACAGAAACGATAAAGCGTGATTTGTCTCGACAATATCGTCGTTTGCGGGTGGAGAATGGACTTGGCACCTGAATATTCCTTGCGATTTCCTAGGGCGAGCTAGCTCTTCGTGTCTCTGCTAAAGAACAAAGAACAATGCGCCGTAAGTTCCTGCGCCGTATGTTCCCTCCTCCTTCTTCCTCCGTGGATGGAACTGGACCATGGGCTTCAGCGCCAGTGTGTTGGACATGTTTGTTCGTCTGCACGATCTCCTTGATCCGCTGTTGTTTCCCCGTACCTGGCCGTTTCGACAGTGCCCCCATGCTTTGCGAGCGCTGTGCCTTGTTGAGTGCTACCTGCCAACACGAAGTACCACCGAGACATGAAAATATGTGAATCTGGGACAATCTCTTCGGGAACACGACAACACCTGACACTCTGTCGGTAGTTATGTCCATTGTGCATGCATTGTGCTTTCCGAGATGGCATGCCAGCTTCACGCAGACACCGCCTTGCAGCCTCCCGTCTACGTGGTGTAGCCATGGTACAGGGATACCGTTTGTTGAAAGCCGTAAGTTGTAAACAGATGCAGCACTCCCAACCTCACCTTCACTCGCATGCTTTCCCGCTGAGCCACTACCCGCTCGTCTTGCATCCTCGCTCGGTCCCTAGCCTCCACATCTTTCTCTTTCACATTCCTCACCAGTCGCTCGATAAACTCCTTCTCCCTCTCCACTGCGACAGGTGGCACGACCATCGCCAAGCGTGCCTTTGGTGTACGGCCGAGATCGGACCAAATACACCCATCTCTCGGGGCATTGGCGTAGCGATGATGATGCGTTCGGCCTCGTCGTGAAGGCGGTGGTGGCGGTGGTAGGGGTGGTGCTGCACGCGTGCATCCCGTCACCTCGTCCTCCTTGAGGAATTTTTGAGCCCGGCGCCCCTGAAACGCTTGCACTAGCTGCCTCTTCTTGATTGCCCGACGGCGCAAGTTATGGTGAGCTCTTCGATCCTCTTCCCTCTTTGGAATCTCCACCACCCGGGCGTTTTGTACCAACGGATGAGTTGGAGGGGTGGGGCATTCTCATGTTTTTGTGGAGTCTTGAATAAAGTGTTGAACACATTGTGCAAGATGCCGCATGACCATGACCATGCCCTTCCATTCCATCGCAAAATATTATTGCTGTGTAGATATGAATGTAGGTGCCAAGAACGAACTGAATTTTCCACGTACGTATAGCGCGCTCGGTGGGCAAAATGTTGGGCGTGTGGGAACATCAACATGCTGTAAGTTGAAAGTGCAATAAGTTTGGGCTGTGTGATGACCCGTGTGCACTGATACGTCGTTCAGTGGTGGTATGATAACTGATTTGATTATACTATGCAACCCCTTCATAAGATCTCCCCCGCGAGAGACGCCAAATGTCTCGGGGACAACAGGAAAGCGCGTTTCAAGAACGCGCCACCACTTAAGAACCGCTTATTTTCCGCGAGGCTCGACGCATGTTGGTTGCCCCAAACCAAGCACATGTTCCTATTTGCCGAATTATTAAATGGAGCAGGCATCCACCTACGATAAATGGTTTTATTGTTCTTACTTCTACGCCGATTACGCCATGCAGAGGATGCAGGTCAACGCGGATGGACTTCAACGTGACACTTGACAGTAAAGTGTTTGACACCAACAGAAAACTATCATTCAACAGGACCTTCGGATCGAACGCACTGCAGATTCCGCGATCACTGCAAAGTAGAAGGGCAGACAGACGCGGCATCGCCGTAAGAAGATGTATCATGGGCAACATTCAACTGCTTAGTGGTCCACAAGGGTCACGTTGGGCGTGGGTGTCCTCCCCGCTCTACAAGCTCCTCCCGTCCTGAATGCGCTGCTTGTGGCTGGATCTCTCCACTGCTCTGCGATGGTAGGATCTTCCCCCGCCCCTACGCTGTCTGTCCCCCTTCAGCAAAACCCACGACCTTACCACCGCATCCGCATCTCCACTGTACTTCTCCAACGGTAGCTTCATGCTGCGTGTACTTTGGTCTAGCTCAAAATGCACACGGTGGTCGTAAAGGTGACGCTCCTGAGACTGCCGAGTGATCAACCCACCAAACCAACCTAGGCTCAACCTAACTAGTACTCCACGCTGCAGAAACCAATTATCACGAGCAGCGGGAGTAGCCTCTTGAAGGCGAGAACCGTCGGGAATCTCCATGCCGTGAATCTCATTGGCCAGGTCCATGGTGTCGTCTTCGTCCAAAAGACTCAGCTTGTCGTTCTGGTCGCGGGCCGTGTCTGCAGAGATCGGCATTGAATCACACAGCAACATCACCATCGTCAGAAATTTAGTTTCCTCAACATGAAACATCCATGGAAGCAACAGCAGTAACAATAACAACAACAACAACAACAACAACAACACAACAACAACAACAAAAACAAAAACGGCAACAACAACGACAAAATAAAAAGAGTCTGGTGAACATCCAACTTGCCGTGATCGTCTTGGTCGCTGGACCCGCCGTCCTCCATGCCCTCCCTGCTGTTGTCTCCGTCTCCCTCAAACCTCTGGTCACCCCCTCCCCCCGCACCCTCCCCAGGCTCTAGAGGTCCCTCGTCATCGCTGGAGTCCTCGGCGTCCATGAAGGTATTCGGCTTGTCCAAACTCTCCAAGATGATTCGGTCATCGCCATACCGTCAACAGTCATCGCCATGCCGCACGTATCGAAAAGGCGAAACCGGTACTCCTCGCGGCTGTCGAGAATTTCCATGGCTGCCCCAACCCATTGCGTGATCAGCGTACACACAGCGTGGCAGGCACCCAGCACCACGAGCACACGAAATGCCTCGCAGAGGGGGTATATTGTGTGGTCATCGGTCAACCCCCTCCCTCGGCACGTGCAAGAATATTTCACGGGATTCCCCCCCCCCCCACGCCTCGAATCTTAAACTACAACTGCTGTTGGGGTCACCCCCGCCACCTTCGCTCGCGTTCTTAACTTGCAGCCACCTGTGTTTTGGGCTCTGTTCTTATCTGTGTGAGCATAGGTACACTACCAAAGGCGGGTTCTAGTTCTTACCCGACGTCAGAACTGAGCACATGTTGTGTAAGCATGTTCTTAGTTTTTGGATTTTTACAGGCTCAAGCTCTTAACTGATAAGTTCGTAACCCCTTTGGGTCTAGCTCTTTTCTTTTTCAGCAAGAAAAAAAATAGGGAGGAGGGGAGAATACGGGAGAGAGAGACAGAAGTACAGCAGAAAGAGACGTGTGTACTTCGTAGACGAAACAGCTATCTCCACCCATAGGCCATGAGGGCTACCTACGACAGGACGGTGGGCGCATAAAGGGTCATAGGAGGGTTGATGTGTGGTAGCGGTGCGGCCGGTAGGGCAGGTTAGACTCGTAGACCTCGAAATGATCAGTCGTCAAGCAGCCTAAACTAGTCTATTTTCAGTATATTCAAATGATCAGTGAAAATGATCAGTGAGAGGGCTTGTAGACCCATAGGTGGTTCTTGTATTTCTGTACTTCTCTGTCCCCTCCCCAATGTGAGCCCTGCCGGCTCACTACAGCTCCTGTGATTTTCCCACAATTCCCACAAGCACGCAGGCACACCACAGCACACACCTACCTTTGCATCAGTGGCTCTCTAGGTTCGGACGAGGGTTGGTGTAGGGCTATGATGATAGTGTATGTGTCACTACTACTGTATGTTGGACTCGTCTATACTGCTGCTGCTATATACTCCGAGTAGTATATATAGCTGCTGACACGATGATTGCTGGATCTTGGGAGTGTACGATTTTCAAATGTGGGAGGATATGCAGCATACCACGATCACATCCTGGCCTGGTTGGGCTTGAAGTGCCCCTTTTTGCTGTCATCCTGTCTTTCCCTGAGTGGCTTCCTAGATTCGGGCGAGGGCATGTATGTGGAGCTATTGATATATACCTCTGTGAAAGGGTATGGCGAGAGATTCACGGTGGCATTTGCATTTAGAGCAGTGTGCATTTTACGATTTTTGGCCGTTCCAGGGACCTGACATTACACTGGCACTGCTGTGACGACGTTGTATTGGTCGCCGGGTAGCGCGGTCGATGCGAATAATAAAGGCACACCTACCTATTGACTTGCCAACACCTGGCGTGGAGGGATACAGAGGAACAACTCCATGGCATGCCACAACACCATCATTTGCAAGTGATCAATCAATGATTAGTCAGGACGCCTGTAGACCCAAAAGGGTTAAGTGGTGGCGCGTTCTGTACGTATTTCATGCAGGAGGCAGTGACCCACGTACGTATGGGAAGCCCGCATCGAGAGAAACGAACGGCTGTATATACCAGGTTGGAATTGAATATTTACTTGTAGAGCGTCGTGATTGAGCAGAACTCTCGAGCAGTACATTGGTTTCCCCTCCCCTTACCAGCCTCCCTCCGGATCGCTGCCGCCATGCTTTTGACGTCTACCGTTCGGAGCTTCATGCTCACGTTCTGCAAACAAAAATGAACACGACGAACGAATGTATGTGTCGCTCGGCGTCTTGACGTCTCAACGTCTCGATCGCCCTCCGCGTGTGGTTCACTCCACCTCTCCGAAGAATATCTGCTAGGTATTGATAAACTCTTTCTCAAGCTACTACGTTCATATCCCGCGTATCCTGAAATCTTCTCTCAGGAACTGCGTGTCTCCGTGTGTACTCTCCTCTCAAGTTCAATGAAGTTATGCCGCCGGCATCCCGAACCGTTACAAATGGGGTAGGTTTCGCGTGGTACCCACCTTCCAAAACAACCTGCGGAGTGCGGACGCCCCTTGTCCGTTTGCTGTTTGGCGGTTTGAGCCGCCTGTGCCGACAGCGGGACAGCAGGACAGTCGCAGGGAGCGAGCGAGTGTGTGTGTGAGAAAGAGGGCCTTCATCCTGTCGGAAAGCGAAGGCAGCACCCTGTCGCTGTGGTAACATCCTCGAAGACAACGGTAGGGTATGTAGCACAACAAATATGGTAGCAGTCACAGCAGCAGTTGCAGTATTTTTCTTTTTTTGCGCACAACACCGCATCATGCCCAACCACACCTACCGTATTCTCGTTGGATATGCAGCCCACCTACCGCCGAGCTACATTTTAATATGCATGCTATCTCTAATATCTCGTCTTGTACTGGCCATCCTCACAGCTGTGCAGCCCCACAACGTGGCTACTCATCGCGCCGAGCTACATTTTAATATGCATCTTATCTCTAATATCTTGTGTTGTAAATGGCCATTCTCACAGCTGTGCAGTCCCACAACGTGGCTACTCATCGCGGGTATGCGTAGATCTCTGTGACTCTGGACATGGCTTGCAACACCAGGCGCACGAATAATCACCCATCGTGGCAACTCCGCGGACTCGCTCACAAGCCTCTGATCGCTGTCTGCACGTGCGAGCGCGCTCTGAATCACACTTGTACCTCTCCTGCCGTTCCCAACGACCTACGTTCTCATGCATCACCATACCAGCAGAAAGAGCCTGCTGTGCATCTACTACAATAGCATGCCGAGACCCAGCGTACGTGCAACATGTTTTCTAGCAGCGGTCAGCATGAATCAACCGCAAGGGGTAATATCGTGGGGGGCTTCCTTGAAGGCCGCGAGTAGTCGGCACGGGGCTGGAAGCATACCGTGTACGACTTCGTCGACGACGTGCCTTGGGGGGGGCGTATGGAACGTTGCAGCACCGTCGGAGCGCCGACGAAGACTATCTCGGTTGAAAGCCGGGGGCGTTGGGTCGGACGTCGGGGTTGGCTCTGACATGGAGCTAGGTGAGGGAGAGGAGCTCCTCGGCACCGTGGATGTGTCCCCCGAGGAGGTTGCTGAGTTCTTCGCCAAGCCCACGTGAGTTTTGTTGAGGACGCCAGAGGCGCATAGGCTTGGTGGGATTATTCGATTTGTCAAGTCGGCGGTGTTCTGCGCAAGCACCACCACCGATCTTTGACTTCGTTTCTGGAATGGTGCACTTGAGCACTTTCCGTAAGAATCTAACTAGTATCTCAAACGCAAAAATAGACGCGGTGCTAAAAGTAACGTCCGCCCCCCCACGTCAACCCGTTGCAATCCTTCGCTGATTCGGATAGTGAGGCAGTCTACTGTAGACCATTATATAATACATACCGCGACCCGAAAATTTCTCTCGTTTTACCAGGGAACACGGGGCGAATCTCGCTCCGTTCCGTTGTCCCCAGCGAAGCCGAGATCGACAAGTGACACTCCGTATATAACACAACACTTGTAACTCCGCCTACTCAACCACGCGGCGGCCCACTCCGCGAACGCGCGTGCCTCCCTGATCTCCGCCACAGGTTCGAGGCGGTAGATGCTAGTCAGGCGCAGCCCGCTCCCTCGGTAGACACACAGGGCAGTAGCCCCGAGCACGTCCTGGTGATGGATTCCTTCCTCGCGGGCGAGACGGCATCCCGGCTCCGAGGGGTATTCCACGACCGGTTCTCCAAGCCGAGGGAGGGGAGCCCGGAGCGGTTTGTCTGGGATTGGTGGCATGTCCCGGACCAGTATACGCTGGTGAGGGAAGGAAGGGGCGTGGAGCCGCTCTCGTTGCTGCAAGACTCGGAGGGCGCGCTTCGTCCGAGTTTGATTTTGATTTGCTCGTTTGGTGGAACGAGCTGGCGTCGGGTGGTTGGTTTCTTCACACCCGTGCGTACGGTTTCCCCCCCCCCCCCC